TCATGCATGCATATGCTTTAGGTAAGCTACTACGTTTTAAACCATTTACTTGTTCTAATCAATCAGAATTATTTGCTCCAATTGTACTTAATTACAACTTTTGAATAAAATTAGGGAATGGTGGGGTGGGCATGTTATATGCTTTAGGACTTGGAATGCCCCGAAAACTTTAAAATTGCATCCAAATTACTTGCAGCAGTTGCATCTTTTAAAGATCTTTTAAAACTTATTCTCGCTGGTTCGCCATGGATTTTACAGTTACTTCTCGAGCATGGGGAAGCACAAAGGGCTATTCCCTGGTAAACATTTATACAGATTTCAAGTAAATATTGTTATGATGGAGTTTAATTTAATGTGTGCCTTTTTGTAGTTGCATAATTGTTTGGATTATTAAATTATTCTATAGATCCCATTTGCTGATTTTTCGAATCATGACGGGACTTCAGAATCAATTGTGTTGAGTGATGAAGACAAACTTTTTTCAGAGGTACCCTCTCTCTCTTGGTGTGTTGATTTTCTGCCATGCTTATTGATTTGGTAATAGGAATTCAGCCTGCACTCTTATGGAAATTAATTATTTTTTATTTCATTTTTCTTTCTTTTGGTTTAGTTATTGGGATAATTTGTGGCATATGCTACTTGTTTCTGGGCAGGTACTTGCTGATCGTAATTATACTCCTGGTGAACAGGTTAGATGCTACTTAATTTGGATGACTTTCTCCCCTATTTAAAGAATTACATGTACCCCTTTGAATTTTATTTTTTTGGTTTGAAAAATTGATGAATTTGTCTATGTTTTTGGTAGATAGTTCATTAACATTTTCATTCATACTTGCGTTAGATGTGTCTTGTTTGGGTTTGAAATTTTCATGACCTTCTGCTCATTTCTTATGTATTTGTAGTAATGACTTAGCATAACTCTTAATTTAACATAGGATCACAGCACATGCACATTGGATCTTTGTTAGAGAAAAAAGCAACACAATAAATCTTGAGATATGCAGTGGGTTTAATGTTTAGAAATTACTGGAAGTTTGGTTTTCATTACCGTTTGTCATGTATTGTCTTTTCATAAATCTCCCATATCATGCATTTGTTCCAGCATGCGTTTATATGTTATGAATGGATAATATACATGGCAACATCCTGGGTTGTAACTCTGTGACTATGGGTATGTTGCAGCATTACTCATCTATAGTTTTAACTCTAGACTTCACTTTCATATATTTGTGTAGGTACTAATAAGATATGGAAAATTTTCAAATGCTACCCTGCTGTTGGACTTTGGGTTTACTCTACCATACAACGTTCATGACCAGGTCAGTCTTGGTCTTCAATTTGAGTATTCACAACACATGCTTTGTTATTGTGGTATAATCTTTCTGTAGCTTAATTCGTACTTATAATTTGATTTATTTTTCTGACCAAACCAAAAATAAAAACTTGATGTGCTTTATTTAACACACCGACCAAAAGTTTGTTTTAATAACAGAACTAGCTCTGTTTTTATTTTCAGAATTTTTGTTTTTGGGCCTAGTACTGAATAAAAACGTCTGTGATAAGTTTTTTCCTTTTGGGTCTGAACCTCTTTGAGAAGTTGGATTGGCTTTCATGGGAGCATATTTACTACAATTCAGGTGTCTTGAGTTTGAGAGTTATGAAACTCGGTCAGTGTTCCTATAAGCTTCTGGTCTTGTTTACATGGCGTATAGATGCTTATAACATATCGATTGAGAATTATTGTGAAGAGAATCTCCATATGGCCCAAAAGTTGTCATTAATTGTTTTGTTTCCTTAATTTTCTAGTACAAACATGAATATCATCTGATTGGACTCCACCTTCACATAAACAATATTAGGTGAATCAGATTTCCTTTCTTTAAAAAATTCCCTCAAGAATTGAAGTTCATTGTTAGGGGTGCCTGTGGCTCTATTTTCAGGTCCAGATCCAGGGCAGCATACCTCATCATGATAATCTTCGTGAAATGAAGTTGGAACTTTTGAAGAGACATCACAGACCAGTCAGTAAAGATGACAATGGTTTCAGCTCTTCAATGGATTCTTTCACCATCAAGTTGGTAGTGATGCATGGACTTATCTCTCACTTTTTCTCCCCTTTTCCTTTTCCCCTCTTCCTGTTCCTTTGCCTACATGATGGTCTTTATCCCTTGCATCTAGTGGCACTTTGTGAAGTCATCAAATATTCTGTTTTTTGTGTTTATATATTGTGCACTTGTTCACTTAAATCACTACTGGCAAAGTCTTTGTGAGCTTAAGTAGTTTACTGGTTAGTTGCTCTATGGCTGTATATAATAATGTTGTTTATTTGGTTTATCCGCATGTTGACATGATATCTTGTGATGAAAAATCTATTTCTGATTAATAATAATCCTGTCACCACATAGGGAAATCAGGTCTGGTAGTGGAAAAGGGAAAGGAATTCCACAATCACTTCGTGCATTTGCTCGTGTTCTATGTTGCACCTCTCCTCAAGGTGTGTTTCATGTTACCTTGCTCTCATGCATTGTTTGATATGATTCTGAGCTCATTTTACCCTTTTATGACCACATCATTAAATTTTTCTTGATTGTTTCTTGATATTCAGAACTTAGTGACCTGGTCGAGGAAGCTGCACAACATGATGGACGATTGGCTCGGCGTCCTTTAACGAACATCAGCAGAGAGATTAAAGCACATCAGATGTTGATATCAACATTAACCCAATTAGCTGAGGATTATGATGCATCTGTTAAGGTAGAGATGCTAATTTTTCAGCCCTTTCTTTCTCTGATTCTTTTGCCGAACTTGCCTAATCTAAGTCCAACAAGAGTTCATTATTTTGTGTTATAATGCATTATTTCACACGACAATACACCAATTACAAATGTTGCTTAAATTTGTTTGCTTATCTCCAACAGAGGTATGTTGAATCAGCTGCATATTGTAACATATTTGCCTCATAGCCATAGGCATTTAGGCAGCAGTAATAAACATATAAAGAGGGTGGAATTAGTTATGTTCATCTTTGATTTACGTATGCACATCTGAATACACATGTAGTAACTCGTTTTTGTGCTTTTTGAGTGCATGCATAGTCTTTGGGGCCGGTAAGTTCTCCCGCTACGCGTGAAAGACTTTCTCATCGGAGGCAAATGGCTCGGGATCTCCTTAGTGGCGAGCTTCGTATCCTCGAATCTGCTTCTGCGTGGCTAAAGAACTACTGCACAACCTTGACGGCAACTGACTGCCATAGAGATGGTGTATGTTCTACAAAACTACCAAGGAGCAGGACTGAGAGGGGAGAGATGTAATATAATAGGGACTGTATCAGTTAGATCAAACACTGGTACAAGTTGTAGATTCATATCAAACTGTATGCCCCGGGTATATTTGGATTTCCTTGTGAATGTTTTGTTGTCAAGTGTATGATGATATATTTGTAATTTGATATCCTCTACTTTTTCTGATCATTTCCGTACCGTTTAACTATGAGATTAAAATTTATTCGATATTTACACATGTAGTACCCACTTTCTACTTAGTCGGAGGATGTCTGGGGTTGATTTTTTATTTGAGTACAAGCCATAGTCTAAATTATAGAAGAGAATGATTTTTCACACATACACAATTATGATATCAATGGGATTCGAACTTGAGATCTCTGGTCTGCAATTCAAAGTCCTTTTCCACTAGGCTAGACTCTGTTGACAAAAACGAGTTTGGAGTTGATAAAACAAAATAATTGCAAGGGGGTCACCAACGAAGTCTAAAATTGTAGAACCAAGTCTTGAGAGAAACTGTGTCCGAAATTACCAAAAGCATCAGTCACCAAATTCGCTTCTCGGAAAATATTGGTTTTTTTACTATTCGGAAAAAAATAAATTGGTTTTCTATTCGATCTATATTAGTAAAGTGGATAAAAGAAAAGAGAAAACAAGAAAAACAAACTGAAGTGAAAGTGATTAAAAAGAGAAAGACGGTGTGAAAACCTTATTTTATTTTCAGCTCCAGCAGTCATTGTCTTGTCGGCACTCAGCAGCATGGTTGGACTCGTAAATTTAAACGAATTGAAGGGTTGTTACAAATACGTCTTTGTCTTTAAAAATCTTATCCTGCGCTATAAATACAAAGAGAGGAAATCTGGTTCGTTCTCTTGCTGAAAGAAATCTAGGGTTGGATACTGCTAGCCTCGTCTTTCTGAGATTTAGGGATTTATATTTCCGATTAGATTTACTTCCAACCTTTTCAGGCCTTTTATTTTTCCGAATTTCTGTGATCAATGAACTACCAAATAGATGAATTCCAGGACACAGAAAAAGGATTAAGATTCGGCAATTTTTGTTGTATGTGTATGAATAGTTTGTGATATTTTTGGGTTGATTTTTTTTGTTTTGGTCGAAAACATTTTTGGTTGAATTGGCCATGAATACATTGAAGTATGCTTGAATTATGCATATGAAGTATTTAGGTTATATATTTGGCTTCTGGATTAAAACTTTTTCCCCCTCGGTCTGTTTATACTTTTTATTTTTGATGACCTTTCGGCTAACAAAATAGGAAAAGAGTTTTGTGGGTCTGTATCTCAGGGAGCATAAATGGCACTATTCATTTAATTTGTATGTCTGCATTCTCTTGTATAGAAATCTGTGAAATTAGTGGTTTGGTTTTTACAATTTGGTGTTTTTCTCATTTTATTTAAGCAAAATATAAGGTGTGTCTTTCTTTGTAATTTTGTTTCCACCAAGAATAATATGGAACATTTCTTTGCTATGAATCCAAACAACTTATTCGAGTGTTATCTTATGGATTCTGTAATACGTTTGGTTATTTACCTCCTTGTATGGTTTGAGATGCAATCCTTTTTTTTTTTTTCCAATCTTTATTTCCAAGATGAATATGTAATTCCATATGTATGCTTTTAAAGGTATGAAATAGTGGGTATGGTTGCGCTCAAAGATGACTCATATTTGTTGCAGATAAAATGCCTCGACATGATGACCGCCATGGTGGTTCACGGCTCTATGTTGGTCGCTTGTCATCACGGACAAGATCACGTGAACTTGAAGATGTATTTAGCAGATATGGAAGGTAAGCAAAATGATTTTTACGAGTCATAGGAGTTACTTGTGTTTTGGGATGGTTATGTTACATAGAAAAAAAGGGTTAGACAATTCTTGATTGTTCTGCTTGGTTGAATGCTTCATGAATTTTCACAGTTCAATGGAGTATACGCGAGTCTGTCCTTTTGTCATTGTTTTTTCTGTTTGCAATTCCATACTGCATTACCTTCATGTACAAATCCTTAAGACTCATTGGGACTTCCAGTTCCATTAAATAAGCAAGCATCATTGAGAATATGTGTTTGTGTATTTACCCATTCGTGTCTAACTCTATGCAATTAACAGTGAATAAATCCTATATTTGTATTCCTATCTGCTTTTGGGTATTTTGCCGTCTTTTATTTTCTGTTCTGGATTAGTGGTCATTGGAGGTTGTCCAAATTTAAGAATATGGTTTTTAGGAGACAATGAAACCTTTGCCAAGCCAGTGCTTGTGCTACTTAAGTGTGTATTTCTTCTATCTTCGTGAGAACATTTCACCCCTCCACGTGTCCCTTTGGTTTAACTTCAATGATCTTGTTGAAGGTTTCTTGGCTTTTGCCAAACCTGGAGGTCTTGGTGAGAGGTCCAATTGGTGGATTTGGCGAGTCTTTCTATAATATTATTGCGTTTTTTAATGGAAATGGCAACAATCTCAAAGTGGTGTTTAGTTGATCTGTGAGGGGCGAAGTATCATCCCTTTGATGCTTGTGTCATGATGGCCTTACTGTTTCTGGAACCCGTTTACGCAGAGTACGTGATGTGGATATGAAGCGCGACTTTGCCTTTGTTGTATGTTATTCTGTACCCTTCTCTCTCTCTCTCTCTCTCTCTCTCTCTCACTTACACACAGGCGCACACATGCACAGGCATGTGCTCATCCATTCTTCCACTTGATTATTGTGGTTTCATCATCTATTTCCTTCTCATATTATCTGTTTTCTTTTTGCAAATTTTATCTTCCGCTTGTTCTATTTTGTTACTTAAAAACAGGAATTTAGTGACCCTCGGGATGCTGATGATGCAAGATATAGCCTGAACGGTCGGGATGTTGATGGGAGCCGTCTAATTGTGGAATTTGCAAGGGGGGTATGTTCTGACTTATTTGCTTAGAATCCTTCTCATATTTTGGCAATGTGTGCTACTAGTATATTATTGCCAGTGGTTCCTGACCCATGTTTTTTGTTTGATTTTTGTTATCATGCATTGCAGAGTTTAACCCCTGAATAGTTGTTTGCCCAATTGATGTATCATTAAATAAAGTGGCATGGGTCTTGTTTTATAATTATTTTTTGTCTTGCCTGATATTTGTGCTCACTCCCTCCTCTCTTAATGTAGCAGAAAATGTCATTAATAATTTGCTTGATCTTGGCTTGCATTCAGGCACCACGGGGTCCTGGCGGATCTCGTGAGTATCTCGGGAGAGGGCCTCCTCCTGGATCAGGACGCTGTTTCAATTGTGGACTTGATGGGCACTGGGCCCGAGATTGCAAAGCTGGGGACTGGAAGAATAAGTGTTATCGATGTGGAGAACGAGGGCACATTGAAAGAAACTGCCAGAATAGTCCAAAGAAAACCAAGTGTGTGCTCTCTCTCTCTCTCTCTCTGCCTTTTGACATTCTGCAGTTCTGATTTATTTATTTCTTTTATATGCAGAGGGCGTAGTCATTCACGTTCACCAAGTCCAAGGCGGGGCAGAAGTCGAAGCCGTAGTTACAGCAGGGGTCATAGTTACAGGTTTATCATCATCCCTTTTCTGATGAGATTTTTCCTGGACCTTTTTACCGCTCGCCTTTGATCTGTGCCTGATCTGTCAAAGCCTTTGAAGCAAATCCTTGGCGGAGTAGCGAGTTTTCAAGTATCTATGTGATATTTGACCTATTTCTGCATAATTTTTGTTTAAACTTAATTATTCTTTTCATCTTTTTTAATGTGCAGTCGATCCAGATCACCTGTGAGGAGAGAAAGGAGTTTGGAGAGAAGATCAAGGAGTCCTCAAGACAGCCGGAGCCCTAAGAGGCGTAGGGCTTCACCACCACCATCCAAGGGGAGGAAGCACGATCGTACACCCGAAGGGAGGAGCCCACGAGTGAGGGGTAGCCTCTCCCCCCAGGATCGCAGATCCGATTACAGTAGGAGTCCCAGGGGAACGAGTGTTGAAGGAGACAAGAACGGGGATAGGAGGCATAGAAGCCCTGCTGAAGAAAATGGTCACAGCCGCAGTCGCAGTCGCAGCCCAAGCCCCATCCGCAGGGGTGATAGGAGCCCTGTTGAAGATGATGAAGATAACCATGGTTCTCCAAGAGGCAGTGAATCAGCTTGAAAGCAGTTTGATGGCATATATATGCTGGTTTTACATGAACATTAGTGTGACAATTTTCTTGCTTTATCAAGTGGAACTTTTTCAATATTTTGTTTTCTAGCTCAAAATTTTAGTTCTCTTTTAAGATGATGAATTTGGATTTATGTGGGGGCAATAGGTAATTTATGATTCGGATCCAGCAATTTTCTGTGTGATATATTTACAAGAATTTCTGAAGCAACCAATTAGTGGAGTTGTCAACTTCTTCACCGTTGTTTCTCAGCCACCAACGCGTACAAGGAACAGGTCTTCTTTTTCCTTGTTTTCAAACTGACAATTTCTTTTGTTAGTAGGCGACACACATGTTATTTATCTCAAACTAACAAATGTACCTTGTTTGTTATTATTTAAAAAATTTATTATTGTTGTTTACGGTTGCAATGAGTCCGGCCTCTTTGGGATATCAAGAGAAACTGGGTTCTACGTCTTCTCCCCTTCGATAGTCTGCCATAACTTGCGCAATCCCTCAAACTCCACGGCTACTTGTTCCATGAAAGGCCTTGCCTTCCTTTGTAGCCCCAAACATCTTTTTGCCAGATCCGCCACCTTTTTGGCCGTCTCAGAAGTTGCTTCATCAACTATTATTTGAGCATCAAGAATTTGGTCCAAGGGACCCTCTTCCACTGAAGTTCGAAATAAGCTTGCTAGGTTCACAGCACTAGCCCCCGGAGGAGAAACTGGCTTTTGACTTCGAAGCTATAGACATCACTCTTTTCTGCTAGTCTGTCGTTTCGAAAATGAGGGTCAAAGTATCCTTCCTTTGAAATTGAGCTAATATAATCTGAGCCCAAATAAGGTTCATTGAACAATCGTGATTGTCCAATGGCAGACAACTTTGATGTGTAATGATCATCCCATAGTATATACTAGCAAAGGTGCCCGCGCGATGCTGCGGGTTTTAAAATTGTGTGAAATTTGTACAAAGTCGTTAAAATATGCAGGGAAGATGATACTATTTCTATAGACATGGAGATCTAAATAGTGGCATCATGCTTTGTTTAGCAACTTACAAAAATACCTAACATGCTTTATATGCCACTGAGTGGTGGAAGGAGATTATTATGCTTTGATGTCTATTGGAAGGGATCCACTGAGTTCTGGCTTCTGTCTTTCTTGTTCTTTGAAAGGGTTTCAACCCTGTGCAAACAAATTTGGAAAACGGCAGGTGTTAGTGTAGATAAATGGGAAAATTTGAGTCAGGGTAATAACTATTATCATAGAATTAAGTTCAAAAATCCAACGGACAAACAATAGCTTAAATACATCATGCATTCTATTAATCTGATGGACAAAAGTATAACCTTATTCTATTTAATCAATTGATAACAAACTTAGAACAATTTTGACATTTATTAAATGGGTATAAGAAAATTAAGCCAAAACAGCCGAGCTTTAATAGAATCAAATCAAAGGGTGTTGATTATGTTGCTACAATTTTGGAAAATGGTAGGTGTTAGTGTAGACAAATAGGAAAATTTGAGCAAAGGCAATGACTATTATTATAGAATTATGGCCACAAAATCAATTGCACAAAACCACAATTTAAACACGCCAAGCATTCTCGAAATCTAGTGAATAAGGTATAATCTCCGTCATTGCCACAAATTATTAAATACCTATAACAGAATGAAACCAAAAGACCCAAAGTTTAGTAGAATCAAACCAAATACTCATAAGAGAATCAAAGCATGAGCAAGTTTGTTGTACATAAGCAGAGACAATCTATAGACACCTATAGTCAAAATTGATACATGTGCCATTTATAGGCTAAGTTAATGTAAAGTAAGCTATAAAAGCATAAATAACCTATAAATACTTATAGGTTATATAAGCAGAATAAAGGCTGAAATAACAGGCTATAGGTTATAGTTTTGTTCATTACATCTAAAACATCTGATAAGGCCATCAAATTAGTATTAGGTCACCAAATTTAAACACCACATTAGTATTAGGCCATCAAATTTTTTCTATCTCTTTTGTTTGTAAACTCTAATGGGTTTGACAAAGATGTACTCATCACCTACCCCTCAATTGGTGGGAACAGTTTTTCCACTAACGCCTTTAACTATGTAAATAACCACATTTAAAAAGTAGGCAAACAGATAATAAACAAACAGGAATTCTCATGTTTCACCAAAAGCAAACAGTTTCACCTCTGAGCAACAATAAATTGCAGAAATTGCAAACAGAAATAAAGTTATGTTCCTGTATTCAATGAAAGAGAGCAAACTTACATTTGAATATGTAGTGAAGTTGAAATACTGGAATAAGATTCCCAAGACCAAGAAAACAATTCCAACAACAATACCCAAATGACTCAGGCCTGCAAAACACAAATGGAACATTAACTATAAAAGATAAGTTGGGGGTATGAAACATCAGATTAATATAATAGACTATTTATATTTTGGAAAAGCAAAAGGAGGATCTTCTTTGGTGCACACTTCATAATATTTGGATTTTGCATTTTCTAGAACAAACCTTCTGCATTTTGTGGAAGGCATTGAAATGAATGGGATCTAAATCATACGGAGTTGTATCAATATCAAATAGCATTGCTTCAAGTGGAGCAAGTCCAAAGAGGGAACTTTTGCTGGTTCCATAGACACATCATAGAAGGAAAAAAAAAAAAAGGCAATGAGACATTAGTACAACAAAAGAATGAAACGAAAAAAATACAAATGTAACATTTGCACCACCTGTTTGTCTATGATTGATCTTTCCTCTTTTCATTGCTCAATTTGTATGCAACATGAGATGATACCCCATCAGAGCTTCCACTTGATAAAATTGGACCAACATGCTTGAAGTTTTCACTGGTGTTTAATGACCTAAAACCTCCTTGGTGATTTAGTTGCTTCAAGAAAGGCTGATCTAAATTGTAACAGCTCAAAAACTTCCTTCTCCCATCGAATCTAGCACCAAAAACTCTTTTTTTTTCTAAAACCTGGGAGACTAAATTGATGTGAACTTGAGCTTGAGTTTATAACGAATTATTAAAAATGGTATAATAGCAGTTGGCTATCATCAAATTTAAAAGAAAATTCGTAAAAAAAGGATGAAATACCAAACTTTCATTCCAATCAAGAAACACAAATAAAACATTTTGGACAAAAATTTAACTACTTTAAGCATAATATACTGGGACAATAAGTGAACAAAAAGTTTCGAACGAAAGCTGGAAAAAGAAAAAAAAAAAACCTTTTTCAATCTTGTCTAGCCTGCAAAGAACCGCCTTCTACTCACAGCCTCTTCTTGATTCTCTTGTATACTGTTAACATCTTGCAAAGCCTGAAAAGCCACAAAAAGAAAATAAATGAAAATCACCACAACCTCAACTAAAAACACCAAATGAACTAATGCTTTCTAATTAGGACATTGTAGTCCATAAACCCAAGAAAAATGTCAAATTATGACCAAATAAATCCTGCATATTTTCATTCTGACAGAATATTAGGAAACAAAACAATCACTTTACCTATGGAAGCATTTTGTGGAAGGCATTGAAATGAATGGGATCTAAATTACACGGAGTTCTATATCAATATCAAATAGCACTGCTTCAAGTGGAGCAAGTTCGAAGAGGGAACTTTTGCTGGTACCATAGACACATCATAGAAGGAAAACAAAAAAAAAAAAAAAAAAAAAAAAGGGAATGAGGCATTAGTACAACAAAAGAATGAAACTAAAAAAAATACAAATGTAACATTTGCACCACCTATTTCTCTGTAATTGATCTTTCATCTTTTCATTGCTCAATTTTTATGCAACATGCGTTGATACCCCATCATACCCCATCAGAGCTTCCACTTGATAAAATTGGCCCAACATGTTTGAAGTTTTCACTGGTGTTTAATGACCTAAAACCTCCTTGGTGATTTAGTTGCTTCAAGAAAGGCTGATCTAAATTGTAACAGCTCAAAAACTTCCTTCTCCCATCGAATCTAGCACCAAAAACTCTTTTTTTTTCTAAAACCTGGGAGACTGAATTGATGTGAACTTGAGCTTAAGTTTGTAACAAATTATTAAAAATGGTATAATAGTAGTTGGCTATCATCAAATTTAAAAGAAAATTCGTAAAAAAAAGGGTGAAATACCAAACTTTCATTCCAATCAAGAAACACAAATAAAACATTTTGGACAAAAATTTAACTAATTTAAGCATAATATTTTGGGACAATAAGTGAATAAAAAGTTTCGAACGAAAGCAGGAAGAAGAAAAAAAAAAAAACCTTTTTCAATCTTGTCTAGCCTGCAAAGAACCGCTTTCTACTCACAACCTCTTCTTGATTCTCTTGTATACTGTTAACATCTTGCAAAGCCTGAAAAGCCACAAAAAGAAAATAAATGAAAATCACCACAACCTCAACTAAAAACACCAAATGAACTAATGCTTTCTAATTAGGACATTGTAGTCCATAAACCCAAGAAAAATGTCAAATTATGACCAACTAAATCCTGCATATTTTCATTCTGACAGAATAGTAGGAAACAAAACAATCACTTTACCTATGGACACATTTTGTGGAAGGCATTGAAATGAATGAGATCTAAATCACACGGAGTTCTATCAATGTCAAATAGCACTGCTTCAAGTGGAGCAAGTCCAAAGAGGGAACTTTTGCTGGTTCCATAGACACATCATTGAAGGAAAAAAAAAAGGCAATGATGCATTAGTACAACAAAAAAATGAAACTAAAAAAAATACAAATGTAACATTTGTACCACCTATTTCTCTGTAATTGATCTTTCATCTTTTCATTGCTCAATTTTTACGCAACATGCGTTGATACCCCATCAGAGCTTCCACTTGATAAAGTTGGACCAACATGTTTGAAGTTTTCACTGGTGTTTAATGACCTAAAACCTCCTTGGTGATTTAGTTGCTTCAAGAAAGGATGATGTAAATTGTAACAGCTCAAAAACTTCCTTCGTACATTGAATCTAGCACCAAAAACTCTCTTTTTTTTCTTCTAAAACCTAGGAGACTGAATTGATGTGAACTTGAGCTTTTCACAATCAATTTCCACCTTTAATTAACAGCATCACAGCATGATGCAAAAATTGTATGAGAGTACAACAATTTGAATTCTGCAATGATCAATCAAAATAATGATTCAACAACAATTTGACTTGACCCTTTATTGCATGAGACTAATTGAGAAAATGAGAAAGTATAATTTGCAAATCACATGTTGTATGGAGCTTTCATGCTTCCAACTTTTCCTCAACACAAAAAAAAAAAAAACAAACAAACAAAAACAAAATGATCACAAACCGATATGAAGAGAAGTTAATATCAATTAGCAATCCTGGACTTCAGTTAACACCTAAAAGCTGGTTAAATTTATTATTATAACTTGAGAAAAAAACTAAACAAAATTTGCAACCAGTAGCTTTCCTGCACAACTCTAAATTAAACACATAGATTTATGGGAAAAGAATAACTAATTTCTTAGATATATTAATTGACTTTAAAATGAGAGCAAAAGATGCATTAGTAAAACTGAATCTAGTTGGATTTAATTCTTTGTAAGTGAAGTTATCATAATTAAATTGAAATAATATAATAAAGAGATTGGCTCACCATTTGGTCAACCAGTATACATTGTAAACCACTGTATTGATTGTCCGATCCGATAAGTTTTGGTCGCCACATTCTACAGATGCGAACTTTGATCCTCTTTTAAATTGGAATGGTTCAAAATCACGAATGTGAATGAAACTTGTCGTATTATAAAGCTGAAAATAAAACATATTTTCTGTTAGTATAAAAAGGTATGCAGGTATGTATCAAAACTGAGAATAAAAATATAGAAATGTTTAACTATGAATAGATCAAAGTTCAAACCTGATTGTAAATTTTGAAGAACATCTTTATATACAATGTTTTTAGTGTAGTTGTTTGGCACTTCTTTATTATTTTCTATTATGATTTTAAGACCTTGTCTTGATGTAACTCTGGATAGTGCAACATAAAGTTGGCCATGGGTGAACACAGTTTGAGAAAGATACAGTCCAACTTGTTTCAAAGATTGGCCTTGACTTTTATTTATCGTCATTGCATAGCATGGCCTAACTGGGAATTGGCGCCTTCTAAAAATGAAAGGCCATTTGCTTTCAGTTGCTGTAAGGCTTATTCTAGGTATGAAAACTTTGTGGCCAATGTTGCTCCCGGCAAGTATTTTTGCTTCAATAAGCCTATCATACAATTGGGTGATAACTAATCGTGTTCCATTGCATAAACTTGAAGATTGATTTAAGTTTCTCAATAACATGATAGGCATTCCTATTTTTAAAGTCAAACTATGTGTAGGCAAACCATTGAATTCAAGTTTATTCAGAAATTCGGTAGGGTACATAATGATAAGGTTTTCAGAATTTCCAGATGATGAACATAAAGAATCTGAACTTAAATAAATGTGCTCTTGTCCGGGTAATAAATCTATTGCATAATTATTTATCTCTGTTACAGTTGTGTTTCTAGGTGTAACAATGGCTCGTTCTCTTAAATACGCAAAATTGTTAAAATTTATGTCAAAATTTGGGTATGTTGCTGAAAAAATGGAATGAATAGGATGTGTATATGAATGAATAAGTAAATCTTCAGGAATTTCAATCCAAGATGCATCTTTATCATTTGGATCATCTATATCAACAATTTGACCATCACCGATGCGCAGAATCCAAGTAGCAAAATCACTTAGTTTCTGTTTTTCTTCGGCGCTTAATCCAGTTTTTGATAGCCTCATATTTTCTGTTAAATGGAATATTTTAAAAAAAGGCCATAAATAGGAACTATTAAGAGAGGCATCTATTATTTCTTCCCTTGTTCCTCCTGGAATAACTGGTAATATTTGTCTAAAATCACCACCTAACAAAAAAGGTTTGCCACCAAATGGAGCATTATTATCTAAATTATTCAAATGTGACAAAATATCAGAAAGTGATTTGTCCAATGCTTCAAAACAATGTTTATGATTCATAGGAGCTTCATCCCAAACTATTAGATCGGCTTTTTCAATCAATTTTGCAAGATGAGTTCCTTTTTTTATCTGACATGTTGAGCAATTACTAATAGTTAATGGGATTTTAAATCTGGAGTGAGCTGTTCTACCACCTGGTAGTAATAATGATGCTATTCCTGATGAAGCAACAGCTAAAACAATTTTGTGTTCAGATCTAATTTTACTTATTATTGTATGCCACAAAAAAGTTTTTCCTGTTCCTCCATGGCCATGAACAAAAAAGAGGGCTGTCATTTTTTCATTGACAGCCTTTATGACACAATCATATACATCTCTTTGATCTTTGTTCAGCTGTGTTACTAAAGTTGAGTGTTCTTTGTCTAAATTATGATAATCATAATTCAATTCTTCTCTTAGCAACTTATTTCTAATTTCTGACATTCTAGATTCATCAGGCATAGGAAGATGATGCTCTTTTAAGGAGCTGGATGATGCATTAAAAAGCTGTTCTAATTCAAACAAAAGAGAATTTTTTAATTCAGATTCTGACACAATTAGATTTGGCATTGCAAAAGTTTTTCGCAGTTTGTACAAAATGTCATCACACATATTTTGCCAATAAGTGTCAAAAAGAAGTTGAGGATTTCCTACATCACAAAATAAAATGATCGTGACAAACAATTGTCTTAATTCAGGACATAAGGCGGTATGTACAGCATTCGCTAAAGCCTCAATCCACTCTTTATCATCTCCTAACAAACCTAGGGACTTGCATGCAGCTTGGTATGATGGTTGTATGATACCATTAATAGTTTTTATGTCATCAAAATGAAAGGCCCCTTTTTGAAAATTCAAAAGCATCCTTAAATAATATAACTCACCAGATGCAGGATGCACATAAGCTATTCTACCTATGGATCCCTTTTTTTTCCTAGGCTTCCACATCTTAGTGCGAGAATCCCACACAAATTTTGAGGGGAATTCTGCATAAGTTAAAGTTCGCGCTTGAACAAAAGTTTTATTGGCTTCAAACCAACTTGTTAACATTGTATGCTCAATACCCTTTTGACTAACAATTGACTGAAGTGATCGATCACCATTGAAAACAACATTTTGTTCTAAAGGTAGATGTATTGGCAATCGTTCAACAGAGGGTTTTCTAGAATGAATAGGATATTGAAACAACCTCCAAACAGCTTCATACGGAGATATATATCTACAATTAAGATAGGCTAGTATTTCATCCTCTTTGTTCTCTTGAAAAACCACTCTAGCTCTATCTGAACCTTTGTTTATATATTTGAAAAGGTATTTGATAAGCATTGATTGACAACAGGATTCAACATTTATATGAGCATTGTATCTCAGTAGTAATTCAGAATTGTAAGGCACTACAAAGCTGTTATCAACTTGTATTCCATTTTTTAACACAAATTTGTTTGAATCGTCACGACGTCTATACACAGGAAAACCATTTGTTTCAAAAATTGTTTCACTCTTATATTGTTTGGGGAAAGATTTAGAACATTTACCTTCCCGCATGCATGGAGAATTAGGATTGATTTCTCCGCAAGGACCGTGGATCATAAACTGACTGACAATATCATAAAGAACAGAATCCACAGTCTTATCCGGTAATTCAGCAGAAATGATGGAGTCTATATCAACTGCTGAAAAACATTTATAACTTCGCTTCAACCAAATCAACATGTGTGCATGTGGCAATCCTCTTTTCTGGAATTCGATTGTACAAACTTCTGTTGTTGATTGGGGGAGAAAACCAAAAAATACCTAGTCAGTTTTATCATCTTAAAAAATGATAAAATTGAGAACACCAGAAATTACGGGTTTTTAAAATTCACCTGCCTCAACTTCTCCAAATGGTTTTCCTGATTTGATATAACTAATCATATCATCAAGCTTCATTTTAAATAATCTCGAAACTATATCAGGCCTATCTTCCGGTTTGTATCCAGGTTTTGCATCAAACTCTCTTACGATTTCAGGCCATTTGACATTGCAAGTGAAAGTTATGAACAAATCAGGATGTCCATATTGTCTACAAATTGCCATAGCATCTTGATAATTATTAAGCATGTATCTAGCACTTCCAGTATATGAGCTAGGCAATATGACTCTTTGGCCTATGTTATTGGCATCATTGTCACCATTTGAAATTGCATCATAAATGCCTTTATAAACCTCACTCCTTAAATTTTTTTGATTTTTTCTAATGTAATCCAATCGATCCTCTTCAAGTGCAGCATAAGCGTCCACTAAAAATTGTTGGAACAATCTTCCGCCTTTTAATAACGTGTCCAGTTGAAGCATCCTTTCTTGTATTTGATAAGCTATAAAGGCTCTCATGGGAATTCTTCCTCTTTTAGATTCATGACCTCTACAACCATTGTTCCATTTCAAATTAGTTGTGTATCCATCTTCACCATAAGGAAAAAGAATAGGATATTGCAAAGACATGAATTTTGGATTTAATTTTGTGACACGTTTTAACCCTCCATCTTTAAACTCTATAACAATATCTCTATTCGAATCATAAAGGCCTATATCTCCCACTATCAAACCGCCAATTTCATCACATGTTGGCTGTTCATATTGTCTATTATCATTTGGTTGCCTGCCTAACAATGTAATTTTTAAAGGAGCGAGAGAACCTTCTTCAAATTTATCTCTGACTGTTCGGAAAATTTTAACCAGTTCATTTGATTCATCAAACATTTGAATCAAACCTTGCACAATGCTCTGATCAAGCTTTTCATTCTTTTGGTTACAATTAACTGCATCAAGGCGATTCATTACCTCATTATGAGTATCATATATATAAAGCTGGGCAAATTTTGGAGATTGACCCTCAGGAGGCAGCAAAGAGCCCATTAAATGATGAACTTGACCACTAATTTTAAAAATGTAAGGGCTTGATCCATTGTTAATTGATTGATCAACTTTGGCTCCCATTGAAGTAAATGCAAACATAGAATTATAGACCCTGATATTCTCTCTGAACAATACACTTTTGTGGCCTTTATTTGGATCAAGCAAATTTTCTAAAAAAAAGGGCGTTGGTTTTGGCATTTGAAGTTTGATCTTTCCCTGTTGGCAACAAAGAGTAAAAAGAGGCTTATTGTTTTTCAACTTTTGCTTAATGGATTCTTTTAACCAAAAAAGTGCACCACAGTAAATGCATTTATAATTCTTGTCTCCGAAATCCGCATATCCTTGAATGATTCCTATAAGAAAAAAGATGCAGAATAGGGAGAATAGAAGACACAAATGGAGGCTATCAGGAATAGAACTATAGTTCAAATTTATAAGAAATTTTAAGTGAAGGTTTTAAGCAAAGGAAAAAACCCACCCTGCCTGTTTCTCTGAAAGAAGGCCTGGCCCTTACTGACTCCATCAAAATGGCCAAATTCGATCTGATTTGCAGTTGTTTGAATTGCATCCATATTGCTGGATGACATATTTTCAACACTTTTTTGTTTTTTGTTATGGGTGTGAGGAATATTTTTATGGCTGGTGGTAGAATTTTTTTCGGCCGAATGCTTATTTTGATCATCTGGATGATACACATTTCGAGTAGGAAATTCTGTGTCTGCTGAAATGCTAGCACCACACCCTTGTTGCATGACGAAACTTTCTTTGGTGGATGTAGGGCTTTCAGGCAACATATGAGTTCGAGGATTGTTTCTGCGACTTTTTCTACAATTTTGTTTCGCTTGATGGCCATGCTTATCACCAATATGTTCAACATTTTCATATGAGATTTTTATATCATTTGCAATGATCAAACCATGAGCTTTATGTATCATCTGATTTTGTCTGCTATTTCTAGTCCTCTTGGCCATTATGCATAGAAATTTAAAACCCCTAAAGCAACAAATTGATGACTGGAAAGACCCAAAAAAAAAAAAGGCATAAATAAAATTTTAGATTATCAGTCACACCTAAATTGTAATTAAGTGAAACAAATGCACAATGATCATGACGGAACCATGTAAATCAGAATTTTCAAATAGCATAATATGTGACAATTAATCAACTACAGGTGCTATACAGAGTCTTTTAAAAAAATGGACAAAACACTAACCTGTAATGCGAGATAACTATCAAGCACTTGCAAAAACAGGTACACAAAAGCAGGATAACATCAGCTATCTAAAATACAAAGACAAAAAATATATATGTGTCAAAACAACAAAGAACCAAAAACTTGAATGTTTGTTTGATAAATATAATTTTTGTTTTCCATGTGAGATAAGACAGTCTCAATTAATTAATCCATTGCAACACAGTTTTGGATAGGAAGGAATATAAAAAATATGGACCCCAACAGAAATCACCTCCTCTGTTACACTCATACAAACAAATGGAAACATGAAAATATGAGGATATGAAGCAAAGACTGGTTTATTTTCAAATTCATTCAGAGGACGGTGACATCTTAATTGTGAGTAAAGACAGTTCCTACAACTCTTTGTCCTTGTGTCATTAAGTTCTAATTCATGAAAATTATCTATCAGCCTCAGCATGTAGAATGCAAGACAGCGGTCTGCTTATATACCAAAAAACAAATAGACACACAAACACATATATGTTATAGTTGTGGTTCATTAGGCACAAATAACTTGAGTTCAATTAATTAGCACCACAATAAATAAGTCGATAATCTGAAGCTAACGTTAATCTATTCATGTTTACAATTGAGGCTGAAGTAGAAATCATCCTTAATAGATAACGCCTACAGAGTCACATAAAATACTCTCATATGCAGACAATCATATGAGAGTTTAGATCATGAGATGCAAGTCAAATTCAAATTTTATTTTACGCCATGAAATTTAATGCATGCATACATTATTTTGGAGCAAAGATGTCTTGAATATTGATTTTCTTTTCTAAAGAGAAACGATATATTGAAAAGGTGGATAAGGCATCTGCAACCAAACAGACAAAACACAGAAACAACCCAAAAAGGCCAAATGAAAGAAAAATAAAAGAAGTGTCATCAACAATTATTCAATTATGAACAGAGATTGCGAAAAATCAAACTTGTTTTCTACTTTTCCTAAGCAAATCAGTTGAAAATAAAATATCAGAAGCAAGATTGGTCTCTAGGCATTTCAATTATCATCACATCTTATACTTCGGATTCAAGCATGGTATAAACAGTAACTGAGAACAAAAACAAAATTTTTATTGATACTTAACCGATGAGACATTCCTAGCATACATTAAACCTAGCTATTTTGACACACCAATAGACTTCAAAATCAAATATGAAATGCAAAACCGAAACAATACATGGGAATTTCAACATAGAAACACACCTCTTAATTAACAGAACAAAAAACAACCACCAAACAGCTCTATCTAAAGCAGCAGAACACCACCTACAAAACATCAAAAGCAAACATTAAAGGTTCTTGTCCTCTAGTATGAGTTGAAATTAAAATCCCACAAATACAAATTTAAAAGTGTGCATTAAACTATGTTAAAGGTTGGAGAAAGAGAATCAAATCCACTTCTACATTTAATTTTTAATTTTTCAATCTATACTCCATACACACAGAACTTAATAATTAGAAATTAGAGTACAGAATCAGAAGTTGGTGCTGCCCATGGGTCCAGCTGTACTCTTTTGGGTTAGAGAGAGAGAGAGAAAAGACTGTAAATAAGTCTTTTACAGAGAG